TCTATATACTTCTAAACAAACCTTCAAAATGAACAAGAAATCCATGTAAATGCTTCTATCGCCAACGCAAAGATTCAGTCACGCAAAATTATAAACATATTTCGCGCGTCCTCGAGTTCTGTTAACTTTCATGCCCAGTTTTCTCTAAGTACTGCTCGACTCACAGGTTTATGACCGGTTTACATCCGCCGGAGCGCAGCCGTTTAGCCAATCGAATGGCGTATCGACCGGTTTACTCTCATGGAGAAAACTCTGACCACCGGTTTACTCATAATTGCGGGCGGTTATGTGTGATTCATGTGATGTTTACAAGTCCACGACCCACGACGATATATTCTCAGATTATTAGTCTAGTATTACAACATTTCGTAAGAGGAAACCATGCAGGGCGATAAGTCCTTAATTATACGCTCGGTAATCCATAATCAAATTTCAACAACAGTGTTTATTAAGTGGCGTAATAGATTAGACAACATCAATTTTATGAAACAGAATATTCTTTAAATTAGTTATATACATGGAGGTTTTTTCTCTCTTTGGAAAATCTGACAGGTTTATATAAACCTGTCAAACCTGTCTGAATCCGCCCCTGTGCTGTCTTCAATTTCTTGGATTGACTTCCTTCTGAATCACTCTCACCTTGACTCTCACACAAGGGTGAACTATAAATTGCTTTTTTCAAAGCAGTAAGTTCATAGTTCGTCAAATCTGTTTTTCAACGATAGGTAAAATGTAATGCGACTCTAGGGTTTCCCATACTCTTTCTTATACTTGTGAAGTACAAATGATTCGTCAGATTCTCAAAGCTTCTCGACAACTAGGCCCTTCCCGATTATGCTAGTAAAACTGGCATATTAAGCTCATAGCAATGCTTGTTGTTTCCTAAAATTATGCTCAAATTATGCTCATTTTTCAAAATTATGCTCATTTCGTTGTAAAAAATGCTTGGCTTTGATTAGAAGAAATACACACAAAATAACGGCCAAGGCACAACGACGTGTACTTTTCGTAAACTAAAGCTTCCTGCAAATATTACGTTAACTTTAAAATGTTAAAACTTTACTTAATGACAAAGATAAGTAATTGTTTAAAGTGATTATCGCTTGTTGTACTGCAACATTATACTGGCTTGCAAATAGTCCGCTAGGGCACATTCCTGTTGCTCGTTAAATGACGATTTGAGTGTCGAGAACACTCTCTCAGCCGCAGCAGAAGATGGTTGTGGACATAGAACAGGACATATAGTTTTCCTAAGCTCACTAAAAGTGCATGAACACCAAAAATATAAAAAGTTTTGCTTTTAGCATCCAAAATGCAGACGAAATTAGCGAAAAAATGTTAAATTATTAGAAATAAATGTTGTATGAAGTTAGAAGTTCGGCAAAACATGACAAACAAGCAGCCATGTTTACGCTTATTTCATGCTGTCATGCAGTCGCGAAAAAAGGTGGGAAATAATGAATTTAATGAGTATTGAGACTGTGATCGGTCAGCAGTTTCTTTGTGGCTTGAATCGTGAAATTGTGGCGTGAATCGTGAAATTGTGGTGTGAATCAGTGAATTGTGGCGTGAATCGCGGATTTGTTGGCGTGTTTCGTGTTATTGTGGGGTGATTTCACTTTTTGTGTGTGAATGACCCACTGTAGTTTTCCCTATCTTTTGCTATGAAATTTCAGCGACGGCACTGGCTGGAAGATTTTGCGTGGCATGTGGAACGCGTGACACAAAAATTCAGGTTATCGAGGTGTCTGTTTCCTCTCTGTATATCTCTTCTCTGTGGTTGAAGGTTAATACCGAAAAATAATAACCGGGTACCAGGTTTTTATTTTTCCGTAATAACCTGGTAACCGGTTATTATTTTTTCGCAATAACCTGGTACCCGGTTATTACGAAAAAATAATAACCGGTTACCCGGTTTTACATTTTCAATTCAAGACCTGGCATGAGTCTTGAATTCGGGACTTGAATTTGCAGGAAAACTCAAGACCCACATCACAGATGAGGTATCTCCTCTGTGCCCACATCTCCTTTTCGACTTCTAAGTCGAGAAAGAGACAACAGCCATGTACCTCAGAGCCATAGATATCTTATATACACTAGATAGCGCATCTCTTTTAGTAAAATTGAAGTCAAGAATATTCCAGCGGTTACCCCCATTTGAATAGATGGCGGCCAACAATAACTTTCATCATTTGAATAGTTTAAAAACGTATTTGGAATAGGGTTAACTTGATGTTTAAGTTTCTCATTTCTTCTAATCTTCTCATCTTCTAATCTTCTCATTTCATGGGAACGACCTGAGACTGCAATCACAGCTTCAATTTTTGAATTGCAGAATAATTAGATGCACTATCTAGTGTATATATAAGATATCTATGCTCAGAGCCCGTCAAAACTCTACCATTAGGTAAGAGTATCTATCATTCGGCGCACGAGGACTAGCTGGATCCACCATCAAACTTGCTTGTGCAGGGAATTTATACCGTTAAATCTGCTCTTTCGCTTGTGGGACGTGAAATGATATACTGCGCATGCTTAACCACTTTTTAAAGCGTATAATGCGCATGTTACACCTTATTTCGTCCCACAACCGTAACCTCTCATTGAATTGATAGCTTCAATATTTAATGAAAGAAACATCCGAAATACAAAAGAATATGGCCTGATGAGTTTGTAAATAATGGTTAATAAAAGCCAAGGGAGAGGTATTTATTAAACTGTAAAGAGTTTAATAAAAACCTCTCCTTTGGCTTTTAACCTTTATATAAAGCACTATACTTTATATAATAAACTTATATAATTATGTCGGGACAAAATTCCATTTGCATTACACGTTGCATGAAACAAATTTGGTTAATTTGCATGAATATATGAACAGAACAGTCAATTACTGTAAAGAATGATCGAATAGATAGCTATACAAACGCACTCATATGTAACTCAATGTCGATGTCGTAACTCGTTCACTCCTTTTAGGCTAAGCTATAACTAGTAACGAGTAAGCTATAACTAGTAACGAAATTTTCCTGCGGTTTTGTTTAAGATATACAAAAGTTGAACGTATACATTTCACAATGCCGCAACTCATAATACTGTATACAGCTAAGGTTGTCCACGAGCAAAGCGGAAAAGTCGAATACGAGCGCGAAATGCTGCTGGGAATCGCTAAAAAATCCATTAGTTTGTTAGCGATTCCCAGCAGCCTTTCACGCTCGTATTCTACCAGCGTTTCCACAACCGCTTGTTCAAAAATCCTTTTACAATCTCCAAAATTCCTTTTTTCCAACAAAATTTCCTTGCCACCCAAACGGTGGAAAAAATAAAAAAAAATTCAGGCAAATTTGAGGCAAATGTATCATAGTCCCTACGAGAAATCGAGCATCATTACATTGCCTGAAAATTTGAGCAAGCTTTCAAGAGTTCCCTCCATGAAAGTATCTGTTCCGTATATATGTCTATGCTCATCCAAGGGTGTAAGGTGCTTGATAATGGTGAAATTTTGAAAAATTGTAGTCCCTAGATCGCCGAAAATGGCATTTTCAGATTCTTCTGTACCTCTTTTTACTGGTTTAAGAGCGTGTGTCTCTAAAACCGCCCACTGACTTGGGGCTCGAAAATAAATTCCCTCGAAACTTTTACCGTGAACTACATTTACTTTAACAACAAATAAATGCTGTTTGGAATTTTGAAAATATATTTAGTTTCAAAGTTTTAGTGATTTTTTGGTCTTGCACCGTCGCAGGATAAATTCGCCGGCTAATTAAACGAAAAAATGGGCTGAATTTAAATAAACATAATTTCAAAAGTTTTTGTTCAAAATTTCTGATATTCATACCCAGCACCGGAAAACTATCGTAATTTCATCTAAACTAACTTAGGTTTTCAATTACAGAGCATTTGTGACAATATTTAGCGACAAAGACCGCCATGTCAAAATACGGCTTTCAAATCCTACTACTTTCTACGCTGAATTTCTTAAAAGTGGGACCTAATTACATACAGTGACCAGTATAATTGGAAAAAGGACACTTTGAAGTACTAACAACCGTAAAAGTATAAGTATAAATGTGCAAAGTTTAGTTCTGGAACCTTTCTGCGAAGTTGATCTTTGAATTATATTGCTGCAAAATTTGAGAGTTAGTATGGATATAAATCTGTGTTCTTTTAATGCTATCGGTTCAACTGTATACGGAGGGTGTAGGGGTGAATCGGGTATTGGACGCTTAGAAGATCGTGATGAGAACATTCAAAACCATCTTTCAAGTTGCAGCTTGTCGAGATCTGATTTTAGCGAGCGCGAGCTGATTTTGAAAAGAGCAGAATTTTTACATGAAATATCAAGCGAAGAAATACGCTCCATGACAGTATGCCCAAACCACCGGTACAACTTGGGCCAATACTGGAGACCTTGTCTAACATGCCAACATCCTTCTCACACTGCGCCTGCATGTCGCTTCAAAGGAAAAGACAGTGGCATTAACCTGGAAGTATCACGGGATGTATTCCAAATTTATGGAGTTCTTGTGCAAGTTGGTTCTCGTAAGTGATAAATATAGTCCAAATTAGAGATATATAATTGCATTGTTAATTTGTTATAGGCAATATAATTAGAGTTGCACTGCGAATAGGCCAGTGCGGCATTTGCATGGTAACATTGGAAATTAGAAGTATACTGTAGTATCACAGCGACATGCTGATAATTAGCTTTACTAGCCCGAGTAAAAAGCTAATTACTGGTATCAGCATGTCGCTGTGATACTACAGTATACCTCTAATTTCCAATGTTACCGTGCGAATGCCGCACTGGCCTATTCGCGGTGCAACTCTAATTCTACTTCATCATTGGTCTCAGTCGCTAAGGAGTCGCGTGAGAGCGCGCGCGATCCACGAGGTTCATAGCGTACTTTCCTTCGAGGAGTAAGGTTCTTCAAAAATTTTATTATGGCAGAAAATAGCGAAAAATACTCTGAAACTGCTCAGACTGGCGATATTTCCGTTGCAGAAGAGACTGTTTTGCTGGGGGAAGATGATGATGGCGATGCTGACTCGCCAGAAATAACGATGCAAGGGCTCGCGAAAATGATGAACGAAAACATGGCCGCCGTGGCATCTTCTTTTGCTTTGTTGGGATCTTCTCTGAAGAGATCTCGTGATGAATCTAACAGCAGTAGTCAGACAAAAAAGAAACAAAAAACGAATAATGATCCAACTATTGATGACGACCAGCACACAGGCGATGAAAGCGATCATTCCTCACACAGCGATTCATCAGAACTCCGAGCAATTATGGCGCCAAAAGATGAAACGACCACATCGAAGGTCGAGCCCTTGAATTTGCTCAGTCAAATTGCGAGTGACTTTGACGAGGATGAAAATACTTCAGGTGCCATCACCGAGAAGCTTGCTGAGATCGTAAATAAACGTTTTTCGGCACCCTTAGGTGAAGAGAAACTAAAAGAAAAACTGGGGCAGTACTTGCGTCCAGATAACTGCGCTAAGCTCGCAGTACCAAAGGTTAATCCTGAAATATGGATGAAATTAAACCGCCCAGCTTCAAGACAAGACCTTCACATGGCCAGCATCCAAAGGGCCATTGTAAAAGCTGGAACAGCTTTAACACAGTTAGCTGAAATATTGGTAAAAACTCCCTCAGGCACAACTGGTCCTGATTTAGGAAAGCTGTTGACTATGAATGCTGATGCCATGGCATTGCTTGGTCATGCCACTCATCAATTGTCCATGCACCGGCGACAAGCTATTAAACCATTCTTAAACAAAGAGTATGCCACACTTTGTTCACCACAGGGCCCAGTTACAGAGTTCCTGTTTGGTGATGAGCTTCAGTCTCAACTGAACAACATAAAAGCCTCAAACAAGATTGGTAACACTATGGCTTCAGAATCCCCAAGACCGCCTGCAAAAGGCAAAGAGCCCTGGAAAAATAAACCCAAGGGTCCTTTTTTTGGGGGGGGGCGAGGGGGCAGGCAGGACCGGCCCCCGTACAGACAAAAGCAATGGAGAAAGAACAAATCTTAAACAAACTTAGTACAGGTACAGGATTATGTTTCCTTTATACCTGACCTTTTAGAATATCTTAAAAATAAAGTTTCTAATTTTCAAGCTGGTAGATTGTCATCTTATGTTGAACAATGGAAATTGTTAACATCGGATGAATTTATTTTAGATATGGTGACAGGGGCACACATAGAACTCTCGTCAACCCCTTTTCAGGTTAAGTGCCAACAGAAAAAAATGTTTAGTAGCAAAGAAAGGCTGGTCATTGATTCTGAAATAAAAAGCCTACTTGCTAAAGGTGTCATTGTACCCAGTGTTACTGAACCTGGGGAATATATTTCACCCATCTTTATTACTCCTAAAAAAGATGGGTGGTATCGCATGATTTTAAACCTTAAACAATTTAATGAACATGTGGCCTGTCATCATTTTAAAATGGACACTTTAGCATCTGCTATTAGTATGATGAAACCACTTTGCTTTATGGCTTCAGTGGATTTCAAAGATGCGTACTATTCCGTACCTATAGCATCTACTGATCAAAAATGCTTAAAGTTTATTTGGGATGGGCAACTATACAAATTTGTATGTTTCCCTAATGGACTTGCATGTTGCCCCTGTATGTTCACTAAACTGTTGAAACCTGTTTATGCAAACTTAAGACAACAGGGATATGAATCATCCAGGTATATTGATGATTCCTACCTACAGGGTGATGACTTTGCTGATTGTGTTGCAAATGTCAAAGTCACTGTGCATATGTTTGATTCCCTAGGTTTAATCACTCACCCTGAGAAATCTGTTCTGATCCCAACTCAACGATTAACATATCTTGGGTTTATTCTGGATTCGAAAGAGATGAAAATATATTTAACTCCAGAGAAAACAGACAGATTGATTAAGCTTTGTGTTGACATACTTAAAAAACCCAAGTCTACTGTTCAAGAAATTGCATCACTTGTTGGCATGATGACAGCAAGCTTTCCTGCTGTCATGTACGGCCCACTGCATTATCGCAGCATTGACATGGATAAAAATGAAGCCCTAAAGAAGAGTAAAGGGAATTTTAATAGTTCGATGACCTTATCTTCGTCTTCTATTGAAGACCTACATTGGTGGGCAGTTTCTCTCCCAAGTGCATTTAATGTCGTGCAACACAGCGAGTATGAGATTGTTATTTATACTGATGCCTCAACCACTGGTTGGGGTGGTGTCCTGGGTGACTTGAGCAAAGGGGGCCAGTGGACCCTAGCTGAGTCGCTTTACCATATCAACTATTTAGAATTACTAGCAGTTCTTATGGCACTGTCACATATAGCATGACAGTTTATGAAAATTAGCATTTAGTATGATATAAAAGACTTGTTGTTGACAAGACTGTAGAATATATATATACGGATATTAAACGTATTTTACATGGTGTCAGGAGTGGGATACTATGGATAGCTTTCACAAGCCGAGTGCTTTAAGTTTTGACGGAAATACATCAGAAAATTGGAGACGATTTAAGCAGCAGTTTCAGATATATTTAGTCGCGTCGGGAGCGAAGACAAAGACGACCCGATTAAAATAGCCATGTTGTTAAATTTTGCTGGAAAAGATGCTATAGAAGTTTTCAATACTTTCGAGTTTTCTGCTGGCGATGATAAGAAATTGGATAAGGTTATCGAACAGTTTGAAAGGTATTGTAACCCCAGAAAAAATGTAGTCTTCGAGAGATACCAGTTCTGGAAAATTACGCAGAGAGATTCAGAGACGGTTGACCAATTTGTCACAAGATTAAAGAACAAAGTAAAATCGTGCGAATATACATCGGTTGACGATATGGTAAGGGACAAGTTTGTGTTTAGTATACAAGACTTAACTGTGAAGAAAGATTGTTAAGAGAAGAGAAACTTACACTGGAAAAAGCTATAAGTATGGCTAGAGCAACCGAAGCGTCGAAGGAACAGATTAAAGTCATGAATGCTAGGGCGCAGTCGAGCGAAGCAAATCAGTCGGTAAATGTTCTTCGATATGACGCCAATCAAGGAAAAGGGCAGATAGGTAGCCGCCGTGAAAAAACAAAGTCCGAAAAGTGTGGATTCTGTGGTATGGTTCACGCATTAAGATCTTGCCCGGCATTCGGCAAAACATGCAACTATTGTAAGAAGACAGGACATTTTGAGCGTGTGTGTCGAGCGAAGCAACGACAACGTGACTCTAGACCGAGAGAAGTGAATGTCTTGGGGGAATTCGAAGACGGCAAAGTTAGCGAGGATGATTTATTGACATTTTCAGTAGAGTCAAATAACGAGGGCAGCTCAAAGAATGACTGGCATGTCCAGCTTAAGTTTGGAAAAACGGATTTGAATTTCAAATTAGATACGGGGGCAGATTGTAATGTGATTTCGCAATCGTCGTTTGAGCAATTGTCACTAACAAATACAAGAATTTTCAAAAATAAGAGCAAGTTGAAGATGTTCGATGGCCGTAAGATAACTCCGAAAGGAAAAGTCAGCTTAGAGTGCGAGTATAAAGGCAAATTTACCGTGTTAGACTTTGTACTAGTTGAACAAGATCTACCATCGATTTTAGGATTAAAATCCTGTCTAGAACTCGGGTTGGTAAAGCGAGTTTATAGCTTGGAAGTGGACCCACCGAAGATCGAAACAGAATTCAGTGACGTTTTCGAAGGTCTGGGAGAGATTAAAGATGTTCAGTACCAGATTAAGATTGATCCGGTGTCCATTCCAGTGGTGCATCCTCCTCGAAGAGTTCCTATGGCCCTCCGAAAGCCACTAGAAGAAGAGTTGCGTCGAATGGAGAAGTTGGGGGTTATTGAGAAAAAGAATGAACCCACCGCTTGGGTACATAGTTTAGTCATCGCCAGAAAAGCAAATAATAAAATTCGAGTCTGCATGGATCCTAGCGATTTAAATAAAGTGGTTATGCGAGAGCATTTTCCTATGCAGACCGTTGAAGAAGTTGTCAGCAGAATGCCCAATGCCAAAGTGTTTAGTGTTCTTGATGCCAACCATGGTTTCTGGCAGGTGAAATTGGCCAATGAAAGCAGTAACTTAGCCACGTTTAATACTCCATTTGGAAGGTATAGTTATAAACGATTACCGTTTGGAATAGCTTCTGCTCCGGAAGTATTTCAGAGTATTATGTCGAATATGTTTTCAGATATAGAAGGAGTCGAAGTTATCGTGGACGATTTGGTGGTCTGGGGAGAAGACGTGACGAAACATGACGAACAACTTCGTTTGGTCTTAGAACGCTGTCGAGATAAAAACCTTAAGTTGAATCCAGAGAAGTGTCGATTTAGTGTCCCCGAAGTAAGTTATGTTGGCCATGTTTTGAGTTCAGATGGACTGAAACCAGACCCCCGGAAAATTGAAGTGATTAAGGTTACAGGATACCCTAGAACGTAAAAATTTTGAATTTTTTTTTCTTTACATGTTCTTGTTGCTTTTGAGCATACCTGTCGTCTGGACAAAAATGTAAATCAGTATCTTTAAAATTAAACAGGTTATTTAGTAAAACGCAATTGAAGTCTATATGTTTGGCGGGAAATGTGTTTGACAGAAAATCGACACCTTGTGCAATCCAATTAGTGTATATGTCATCTCGTATTCCGTTATCACAACATGCGGTTGTAGACGCACATTTCTCTTGCACTGAAATCTTTGCTGGAAAATATGCCGCGAATAAAAGCTGATTCTGGCAAAAGCAATAAAACCCCTTTTTGCGGCCGTCGGAAGAAACTCGCACCCAAGACCGACAATTTGTTCACAGAGGAGAGAAAGAAATCACTGGCAGAAAATGACCGTAAAACCATTCTGTAGAGATGAATCAATACCCATAAAGGCCATAATTTAGAACAGTTTGCCTAATATTTACTAGCATAATTATAGAATATAGTATGTTTACATGAGTATGTTTATCATAATATAACAATGCCTTTTAAAACATGTTTTTAAACTTAATTATTATAGTCATATTTGACTAACACTATAATAGTCTACACACAACTTCGGGATCTTCAAAGCTTCACAAAAGATGTCCAGCTCAATATTGTAAGCATCTTAGAAGCATAATAAGAACATTAATTTGGCGACTTATCATTTTTGCCATATTTACTAATTTAGCCACAAGTGCATGACTAACTGGAAAACTGGAAAAGCTTTATTAGAATTAGCCCTTCCGTTCCCTGCGCGGCTTTTATAGTGACCCTTGGCTTTGCGCACAGAATATCAAACTCACTTCTCTTATCTCTCCTTTTACATCACCGCGATATCGCTCAGGAAATTTAGTACTTCACAGGATATCAATAAGCCGCATCCTTGGGACCGATTCCCTGTTTCTAGAAATGAACGGAAAATGTAATGACATTTTACAATAAAGCCTTTTATTTCCAAAAACATTACGATGCGCGGCGTACTAAAAACGCAAATTGTGCAAAAATCCAGTGAACCAGGTGCAATTATGTATATAACGCGTGTGCCCATCCACAATGAAAAAATACCGTATAATTCTAGGAGGTTTACCACGCTTCTTTAGCCGATCTGCAACACCAGCCTCAATATTCTTGATAAAGTTTGTTCCATCGTAACTGAAGAGAAAGAACAAATGCATGGCTTTCTATAACGTCAACTACCAAAATATCGTCAGATCAAAATGCGATAAACTAAGTTTACTTACCCTTTAAGGCTTTATCTTTCATCGTTGCCATTAGTTTTTCTTTGTGGTCCACATCGCCATCATGGATGGTTGGCCACAGACAAAGCCTGAAACGCCCTTAGATATTCGACCTTATTGGAGTTACAGAGATGAAATAAGCGGTTATGATGGCTTGATGTTTAAAGGAGATCGTGTAATTGTTCCACATGTTCTTAGACCAGAAATGCTGGATCGGATACATGCAGCTCATTTGGGAATCGAGAAGTGTAAAGCACGGGCGAGAGGTTCAGTGTTCTGGCCTGGAATGAATAGTGCAATTGATGAAATGGTGTCAGAATGCAGAACATGTTTACAATTTCAGCGAAGGAATCAGAGGGAGCCGTTGATGCCGCAGGAAATTCCAGAGAGGCCGTGGTCAACCGTTGCAGCGGACATATTTTATTATAAAGGAAGAGACTATTTATTGGTAGTCGATTATTTCTCGAAGTATCCTGAAGTAACAAGGATAAATCACAAGAATAGTGAAGCCGTCATCTTGGCAATGAAAGAAATGTTTGCCCGTCATGGCATTCCAGAAAAAATTATAGCTGATAATATGCCTTTCAACAGCCTTAGATTTAGAGACTTTGCTAGAGAGTGGGAAATTGAGGTGGTGACAAGCAGCCCACACTATCCGCGTTCAAATGGGCTCGTGGAAAGAAACGTTCAGACAATTAAGCGTCTGTTGAAAAAATCAAATGATTCGAAACAAGATGCATTTTTAGCCTTGTTGGAGTTCCGTAATTCTCCAATTAGTGGTATGGAACAATCGCCTGCAGAACTGTTGATGAGTAGAAAATTGAGAGCTAAGTTACCAATTCCTAAGCATCTTCTTAAACCTAAGTCACAGCCAATCAACGATGTTCGCCAGAGATTGAGAGTACATCAGTTGCGTCAGAAAGCAGCATATGATCAGGGAACGAAACAGTTATCCAGTTTACAGCCAAACGAGTCGGTGAGGATTCGACAGGGAGGCGTATGGAATCCAGCCGTGGTCGTTGAACAACATAAATCACCTCGTTCGTACATTGTGGCAACTTCAAATGGAACTCAGTTACGCAGAAATCGCCAGCATCTAATGCCAACTAACGAACCACCAATGATTATTACACCACCAATGGAACCTGTCGGCGAAGAAGAACGTTGTTCAGGTATAGCTCCGAGTACCGTACGTTCACCAGTTCGTTCTCCAGTTATATTCCCGAGTACAGAAATAGAGGAAGAACACGTACGAACACCATTGAGAAGAAGTACAAGAGTTCGAAGGGCACCTTCCCGATTGATTGAGAACATCTAGTTAAGTATAAAGGAATGTATATATATAGTATAAGATGAATTTAGTATAATTAGGATATTGTTTAATAGTTAGGAACTATGCATGAAAAAATAGCAAAAAAAAAAAAGAAAGAACGGGAGATGTCACATATAGCATGACAGTTTATGTAAATTAGCATTTAGTATGATATAAAAGACTTGTTGTTGACAAGACTGTAGAATATATATATACGGATATTAAACGTATTTTACAGGCACTAAAAGCCTTTCATAATTATGTAAAAGACAAGCATGTCCGTGTGTTCATTGACAACACTACTGCAGTAGCTACCATTAATCACATGGGTACCAGTCACTCCAAAGCTTGCAACTCGGCTGGTAGATTAGTCTGGGACTGGTGTGTAAGCAATGGCATTTGGCTCTCTGCTGCACATATACCAGGTGTATCTAACACACTGGCTGACAAAGAGTCCAGACAAGCTCTGGGTTCAAGTGACTGGGCCCTAGATCCTAGTTGTTTTGCTCGGGCAGTAGAGAAAGCCCGCGTTACACCAAATATAGATCTGTTTACTTCTAGGCTTAATTACAAACTGAAACCGTTTGTTGCATTCAAACCAGACCCAGAGGCATGTGCCATCAACGCCTTTAGCATATCATGGTCAACATATTCATTTTATGCTTTTCCACCCTTTAGCATCCTACCCAAAGTATTGCAAAAAATTCAGTCAGACAAGGCCACAGGATTGTTAGTCATTCCAAAGTGGCCAACCCAATCTTGGTGGCCAAGAGTCATGAGAATGTTGATACAAGTGCCAATTCAGTTACCAATCGGGAGGCACATATTGACTCAACCAAGCCAACCAAGCCTTGTTCACCCCCTTTACCCCAAGTTAGTCTTATTGCTATGCCAGGTATCGGGGGATTCCTTAAAGACCGTGGACTTTCACAGCAGGCTGCCAAACTGGTCCTGCAATCTTGGAGAGAAAGCACTCGCAAGCAATACAACCCCTACATTAAACGATGGCAGTTATACTGTAGCGAAAGAAGCTGGGGTGAATTATCTGGCAGAACTATACAATACTGGCATTGGTTATAGTGCCCTTAATACAGCACGTAGTGCACTTTCTTCATATGTCATTCTCCCTGATGGTTTGCTATTTGGCACGCATCCATTGGTCCGCAGGTTTATGAAAGGTGTTTTCGAAAACCGACCTTCTCTCCCACGGTATAGTGCAACTTGGGACATTGCAATTGTGCTGAAGTATCTTGGAAAGATGCATCCTGCTGATAAACTGAGTCTAAAAGAATTAACACTTAAAGTTGTAACGTTGTTAGCTTTGCTGTCAGGACAACGTCGACAGACGTTACATGCGCTAAAAGTCAGTTGTATGCAACTGAGCCCTGATAAATGTATTTTTGTGTTAGATAAATTGTTAAAGACCTCCAAACCTGGTAGGCACTTAAGCCACCTGAAATTCCTGTCCTATACACCAGACCCTAGTTTGTGTATTGTGAAATATTTACTTGAGTACGTTAAACGAACACAGATTCTGATGCAGGGCATCGATCAGCTTCTTGTAAGTCACCAGAAACCTTACAGTTATGTGGATACAGTTAGCAGATGGATCAAGACAACCTTGACCAATGCTGGTGTTAATACAGACGTTTTTTCCGCTCACAGCACCAGGTCTGCATCTACGTCGGCTGCTTCGAACAAGCAGATTCCACTGGACACAATAATGAAGTCTGCTGGATGGCACTCAGATAAAACTTTTCAAAAATTTTACAACTTGCCTGTTGAGAATAACTTAAATTATGGCAAGGAGTTGTTGGACTCACTTAGCTAGTTCATATTTGGCATGTGTATGTTAATTTGAAATCATTACTGTTTTTATGTTATTAGTTTAGTAGTGATCATTTGCTTTGAAGTCTCACATGACTCCTTAGCGACTGAGACCAATGATGAAGTAGAATTGAAAAATTAAACGAGACCTGTAAGGTGAAGTTTGATGGAGATTCTACGAAGTCATTGGTCTGGAGCTAAGGAGTCAGGTGCCCACCCTTCGTTAGGCATTAGTTCTAGCATAATCTTCCCATCCCAGGATTAGATATGATCACTTAGTATCTTTGAACAATGAACCTCGTGGATCGCGCGCGCTCTCACCTGCCTCCTTAGCTCCAGCAATGACTTCGTAGAATCTCCATCAAACTTCACCTTACCGGTAAGTCTCGTTTAATTTTTCAATTATATTGCCTATAACAAATTAACAATGCGATTATATATCTCTAATTAATTTGGACTATGTTTATCACTTAAGCCAGGCGCACAAACTGCAATTTTAGTCGACCGACTCAGGTTTAGATGGATGTTTTCAGCAAAAACAATCAGTGATAGGATCTGTGGGCTCATCTACATCACCAGATTTGCCAATATCATACACCTAAACCTTAAATCGGCCGACTAAAATCGCAGTGTGTGCGCCTGGATTTATGAGAACCAACTTGCACAAGTACTCCATAAATTTGGAATACATCCCGTGATACTTCCAGGTTAATGACATTTTTTCCCAGTGGCATAGCCAGAACGATAATTGGGGGGGGGGGCATATTCATATATTCGTGTTCTGCTTTATTAATTTCTTTTGAAATCAATTGTTTTTATGGTATGTGTGAATATGCCCCCCAATTATCGTTCTGGCTACGCCACTGTCTTTTCCTTTGCAGCGACGTGCAGGCGCAGTGTGAGAAGGATGTTGGCATGTTAGACGAGGTCTCCAGTATCGGCCCAAGTTGTAACTTGAAAGATGGTTTTGAATGTTCTCATCACAATCTTCTAAGCGTCTAATACCCGATTCACCCTGACACCCTCCGCATACAGTTGAACCGATAGCATTAAAAGAACACAGATTTATATCCATACTAACTCTCAAATTTTGCAGCAATATAATTCAAAGATCAACTTCACAGAAAGGTTCCAGAACTAAACTTCGCACATTTATAGACTTTTCGAACTAAGCAATAGTTTAGTATGCTGCAACGCAAACTCTAAATCACACTAAATATAGCATGTGCCACATACAGAATTCGCGCTACATGCGGGCTTTTCCCCGAGTAGCATGTTAATTGGTCAAGTTGTTTATTTTAACATGCCTATTATTTTAAATCCCTTGGAAGTTGGAACCACTTAAGGTGGACATAAACAAAGAAATATAGATTAGTACTACTGTATATTGCTATAAACTTATTTGAGGAAAAGGTTATTTGGCAGAACTACAGCGCATTTTTAGCAGTGACATGAACTCAGACGTCCGACCTCAGCAACATTCTAATGTAAACAAAAGCCCATAAAGAGTATCAAATTTCAAACGCTCTCAATTGCTCAAATCGCGTTTGCAGACGAGTTTTATTACGGTTTTTAGTACTTCAAAGTGTCATTTTCCCAACTATACTAGACACTGTATGTAATTAGGTCCCACTTTTAAGAAATTCAGCGTAGAAAATAGTAGGATTTGAAAGCCGTATTTTGACATGGCGGTCTTTGTCGCTAAATATTGTCACAGATGCTCTGTAATTGAAAACCTAAGTTAGTTTAGATGAAATTACGATAGTTTTCCGGTGCTGGGTGTCAATATCAGAAACTTTGAACAAAAACGTTTGAAATTATGTTTATTTAAATTCAGCCCATTTTTTCGTTTAATTAGCCGGCGAATTTGCCGCTAAAACTTTGAAACTAAATATATTTTCAAAATTCCAAACAGCATTTATTTGTTGTTAAAGTAAATGTAGTTCACGGTAAAAGTTTCAAAGGAATTTATTTTTCGAGCCCCAAGCCAGTGGGCGGTTTTTAGAGACACACACTCTTAAGACTTGTAATTGGTATAAGTTACAGAAATCCTTGCAATTTCCTTTAATTTCTGTATTTTTCCTTGCCATTTCCTTGTAAATTCCTTGCAAGGACCAATATTTCCTTGTTGCAAGGAAAAATCCTTGTAAGTGGAAACACTGTATTCGACTTTTCCGCTTTGCTCGTGGACAACCTTAATTGAACAAGACGCTCTATGGAGCGTTAACTCGCTGGGGCCATTCAACTGACGTACATTACTGTTAAGATCTAAAGGCTGATTTCCACTGTTGCGTTTTTCGTATGCACATACACGCACGTAAAACTTTGAATCCTTCTATTTTTAAATATTTTACAAATAAGTTAAGCCTGGTTCACATATATGCCTGCGACGTACCGGCGACGATACCGGTGCTAGCTTTAAAACGTAAATTATGTGGGCTATCTTTAAAACAGGGAATGGGGGAATCCGGGAATCCGGGAATCGAGGAATCCAGAACTGATAAGACGGGGATATTAGTGTACTTGTTGGAAAACGCATTCGCTACTGAATACAATGCGAATCAGTTGTCATAAATAACTTATGCTTATGGTATATTATAGATTATAACAGCCCTGTGCACATATGTGATTTTAATAACATTTATTATATAAAGTATAGTGCTTTATAGAGATTTCGAGCACTGATTAAAGTGATAATCTCAAATGTGAGATTATTTATGATAATCTCACATGTGAAAATTATCGCTTTTCAATTTTCGCTTTTCTGTAAAAATTATCGCTTTTCAAAAACTGTCCTTTATATAATAAACAGAAAAATACATGGGTGCTTGAACGGTGCTCGAACTAAATCTGGTATTTCCGCGCACCCATGTATTATTCTCTATATAATTTTATTAATTTCAATTAGACATTAGCGTCTCTAGAAAATTGTTCCAACGCGCAAGTTTTTTGAATTAATAGACTGTAAAATGCATGCATCTTACAGGAAACGGGATAACATTAAACTAAAGACACGCTTTATATGTTAAATATTAATTTTAGCCAAAGGGGCGCAATTTGGCGGCAGCGACGTGGTATGTTTTTAGTTTTCATTCACGGATACTTTGCAATCCCAAATTACTTACAGTACTTTAAAATTAACATATTTTTTATTATTTTTTAACAACTAAAAATCGCGCAGATTTGGTTTAAGCAGATGTTGGAGTTCCACAGTAATGTCTTAAAGTATTCGTGAATGAAAATCGTACCTCTTCACCATCGAATTGCGCCCCGTTCGCTTTAATTGCTGCGGAGCGAGCGAACCTGAAGCGAGCGAGCGTAGCAGCAACCTAATATATGCAGAGAGGGATTATGAACTAAATTTTATTTAGCGCATGGAATTGTGGTCGTGCGCGATTTCTATGTGCAGAACACACATTTTAAACTCTTTCGAGTCTTTGATTTTTACCGAATTTCTAAAGCTTTTTCATGTCTAATGTTATGCTTACATTTGTATTGGACTTTGGCCACTGTCAGTTCTATATTTTTATAAAGTTTTGGTTTCTTAGTGTGATAAATCTGTGCCATATAGTCTATATAATGTGGTAAATGCGCCTAGCAGTAAACAGACTTGATATGAAATCTGATCTTAATTTACCTGTATGTCAATGAGACGCACATGTTTAATATCTGTCACCTCTGATTGCCCTTTAATCCCTGGTCTTTGCTACTTCAATATATATTGCTTCTTCTCAGTTCCATTCACAGCTCACTAGTCGCTGCGAGTAATCACTGTGCTTGATATAATCTGTGCTGTTTACTGTAGTTCTATTTGCTTTTAATGCCAGCAGCAATCCCTACCTTGCAGGTACCCTAGTATTTAACATATAAAGCGTGGGCTTTTAGTGTTATCCCGTTTCCTGTATGATGCATGTATTTTGCAATCTATTAATCCAAAAAACTTGTGCGTTGGAACAACATTCTATAGACGCTAATGTCTAATTGAAATTAATAAAATTATATGTTATTAAAATCACATATGTGCACAGCGCTGTTATACATATATAATATAACATAAGCTATATAGTAAGTCAACTGATCCGCAGTGTATACTGTATGTTCATCGTCTGTATTATTCTAAACAAAGTAGCAAATGCGTTTTCCAACAAGCACACTAATATCCCCGTCTTATCAGTTCTGGATTCCCGGATTCCCCGATTTCCCGATTCCCGTATTCCCCTATTCCCGGATTCCCCGATTCTCCATTCCCTGTTTTAAAGATAGCCAATTAATTTGTGAACATTTGTTCGCCGATTGCCGCCAGTGC